TTACTATGTCAAATTCTTTAGGCAGTTAGTGGGGGAGGTCAAATGTCTGTCAGAGAAAACAATCAAGGTAAAGAGATATATTTCAGGGTGGCCAAATCTTGATCTCCCACAGAGGTAACCTCTAAAGTTCATTTATTCAGATACTGGGTTGTGCTGTAGTTGTTCATCTCCGTGTCAATGATACAGCTGAAGCGCACAGGATATCAGGATATTTACAGCCTGATGAGACCCTGATTCCCCAATTTTTAACTCCTGACCAGACCTCTCCAGTGAGCTTCAGACTTTTGTAGCTATACTTGGATGTTTCACAGGTTCTGCAAACGTGTGTGGTTTCACCATGCTCCCAGTTGCTCAAGTCAAAACCCAAGGCGGCAACCCTGACTCCTCACTTCACCTCCTCTTATCAGCAATACGACTAACTCTCTGTCTTAGTGGGCTTAGGCTGCCAAAACAAATGCCACAGACTGGGTGGCTTCAACAGTAGACATTTATACCCTCACCCTTCTGGTGAGAGCTCTCTTCCTGGCTTGGAGATGACTGCCTTCTCACTCCGCCCTCACACGACAGAGAGCAAGCAAGCTCTCCGGTGTCTCTTCTTATAAGGGCACTAGTTGTATCATGAGGGTCCCCCCCTCATGACCTCATCTAACCTGACTTATTTCCCAAAGGCCCATCTCAAAATGGGGCTAGGGCATTAACATATGAATTTGGCAAGGGCCGTTGGGGTCTGGGGACGGCACACAATTCAGTCCATGGCACTCCATCTCAAAATATATTTCTGGCCACTTAAATCCATCTTTACTCCTTCTCCCCTAGCCCATGTTGTAATTATTCCCTGCATAAAGCTATTGCTGACGTCTCCTAACTTGTCTCCCTGTTCTCCTTCTCCCTGCTTTATGATCCATTCTCCACTAATAGCCAGCGTGAGTTTTTAAAACTCTAGACTAGATGTTACTCTCTTCCTTAAAATCCTCAGTGGCTCCAAACGCCTTCCCATGACCTTCAAGCCCCAACCTGTCTCAGTGGCCTCTCCTGAACCACTCTCTCCTTCACTGACTGTACTCGAGCCACAATGGCCCTCCTGCTGCTCCTTAAACATGCCAAGCTAGTTCCTACCTTGGGACCTTTTTGGTTGCTGTTCCCTGTGCCAGGAATGGTTTGCCCATAGGTCCTCCCGTAACTGACTCCTTCTTGTCATTCAGTGTTCAGATCAAATATCACTTTTTCAAAGAGGCCCCCTTTGAAGGCCCATCTAACTCCTTTTCCTCTCCTGTCTCCTCCCTTCCCCTGTAGCTCTCTATTACATTAGGGTGGCAGTATGGTACTGTGGTTAAGAACATGAAATCTGTAGGCAAACTACTCTATCCATTACCAGCTGTGTGACTTTGGTCAACTTACCTAACCTCTCTGTGCATCAGTTTCCTCATGTGTAAAATGGGGTTGATGTATGGCTTAAATGAATTAACACATATGAAGTATCTAACAGATGGTAAGTACTTAACATCTGTTAGCTGCAATTATTACTACATTACCTTGTTTTATTTTTTCACAGAATTTACCATTATCTGAACTTATCTTTGTTCATTTATATGCTTATTATCTATCTCTCCCCTCACCCTCATCTCCTAAGATATGAGGTCTGTGAGAGCAGGGAATTGATCTTGTTTTGTTTGCCAATGTTTCCCCAGTCTCTAGAGCAGAGGCTGGCACACAGTGAGAATTTATAAAGTATTTGCTGACTAAATAAACAAGGAGCGAATTTCAGGGAAGCCTTAGAGTAACCAGGAAAGTGTAGAGTCATTTAGCTCATATCCAGCTTCACACACAGTAGCTTGAAACTTATATGTTGGTGGTGGGGCAGGGCACTTTGCAACACTAAAATAACATTCCCAGCGCTAAGCTACTCGCACATCCTCAATCACTTAAAAAAAATGAAAAGCTTTATTTAGGCCCCTAGAACCCACTTTTCTGCAATGATTGTGTCTTCTTCCTTCTCTTCTTAGTGGTCAGCACAGTACAAGACACACAAAAGGTGTGTGTTAAATGCCTGTGGAATAAACATGGTCTGTAACAAGAGGTTATAAGTTCTATAACATTTGTATAGTGTTTACAGTTTACAAAGCAGGCCAATATTCTTTACAACAACATGGCTGCCATGATGTCTGTGGTTGATTTTAAGTTATTTCAGCATGGATACGGTGATATTCCGTGTGTGTTAACTGGTTGAAACTATGGCCTAGAAGCAGCTAGCATTCTAGTAATCAGGAATCCACATTCCCAAGGTAGTTAGCTAGCATCATACTAGAAAGGCCACATTCCAAAGATGGCACTACAAATACTTTAACCACCTTGATCTCTGATGACACCAGATGCTTTGCTGATTATAAGAGTGAGTGTCAGAAATGGGTTTTTATTGGCAAAAATAACAGTTTATTATCATGATGAATTCTAGAGTTGGGCTCTCAAAAGAATTCAAGATAGATGAACTATTTAAAATACTTTAGAAAATGCTCTCTACTCCTGAATAAACAGGGTCTAAAAATTCAAGGAGTCCTCAGCCTTTGGAGATGCCATCTGAGGCTTCATCCCTAATGGTCCTGGCTCTATCACTGGTCTGGAAGATTTCTGGTTGCCAGATGCTGATGCTGACTGCGGTAACAGAATCGTGCCTCAGCAGCACTGTACTTCTGCTTGTCAACTTGGTAGTCCAAGGTGATGGTCAGACCGCCTAGAACTGCACTCTCCAATACGGTAGTCACTATCCATATGTGACTATCGAGCATTAAAATATGGCTAGTCCAAATTGTAAAAAATGCTGATCAGATTTTGATGACAGTACAAAAAATGTAAAATATCTCATTGATGTTTATATTGAGTGCATGTTTAAATGACAATCTTCTGGATATACTGTGTTATTAAAATTAACTTCACCTCATTCTTTTTACTGTTTTTAATGCAGCTAGTAGAAAATTTAAAATTACAGATATGTATGTGGCTCGAATTTTTTCTATAGGACAGAGCTGACCTAGGACAGAGAGCTCGGCCTTCATCAAGCTAATAGTAGGGATTAAATACTATTTGTGCCTGCCTCCTAATATATATTTAATACATTTCTGAATAAGGGACAAAATTCGGTCTGATATTTGCTTTTATTTAACCTAGTGAAGAAATTCGGGAGTCCTTATCCATCTTAAACCCTTTCAGCTACTGTTATCAACCAGAAAGAACCTAAAAGTTTCAGATGATCAAAAGATTTAGATCAGCTGTCAACTGAGACTGTAGAAGCAGTAAGGAGCAGTGGTGATGATGGTAAGAATAGTGTGTTTACTTTGAATCATGTAGTTTTAAAACTATTACGGATATTCACTTTATTCTCACAACACCTATTAAATACAAACCATTAATATTAATAATAGGTACTATTAACATTAACAGCCCCAGTTTGACCCTTTGCCGAATCCAGTGTAACTTCAGACTTTCTCCCTCTCAGAGAGTTAAACCGGAATCACCACGACCTGCCCCAGCTTCAGCCGCCCTTCCGCACGACTTCGGCCCACGCAGCGCAGCCAATCAAGGCTGCGCGGGTGAGCAACGTCACTCTCCTAAAAATCCTCGCCCATTTCCACACAGTCCTCCTTTTCCCCGCCCCGCCCCTTTACTGTTTGTTAGAGGCGACCGGAGGCCATTTTAGATTCGGGCGGAAATCAAAACTGTGGAAGAAAAGCCTAAAAATTAAAATCAAGACAAACCTGCGCCTTCAACTCGAAGGCCAAGGGAGGGGACATGTTCACAGACCAACTAGGCTGCTAAGAGCAGTAAGCAAAACGCGAGGTCGGCTCCGGCGCTCACACTCAAGATGGCACCGGCCTGAGGATCACCTGGGCGGCCGCTCTAGCTCGGTTCCGGGTTCGTTCGCCTCAGAGGTGGCGTCGGAGGGCTGAAGGCTGGCGTTCTGTCCGGTTTCCGGACCCGTCTCTATGGTGTCGGAGGGACCAGCCCTCAGAAGATTGTGAGTGTAGTGGCCAGATCCTCACGGGGGAGGCGAGGGCGGTTGGTGTCAACGGGGGGCGAAGAGGGGACCGGAGCCAAGACCCTCGGCCGCCTCCCCGCCGCCCTGCCGCAGGTAACAGGGAGCCCTGCGCCGCGGGGAGGGGGCCGCGCCCGGCTCGCGGGGCCGCGCTTGGGGCCCGCGCGGGGGCGAGCGCGGCGCGGCGCCGCGGCCGGTTGAGCTCTGCTTTCCGCCTCTGCGCAGCCTCCCCGTGCCGATTTCCCGGCGCCCTTCTAATCTGGGCTTCGCGGGCGACCCCCGCCCGGGGCGGCGCTGGCGGCCCGAGCTGTCGAAGGAAGCGGCGGAGCCGGGCCTCGGGGCAGGCGTGG